TGTACAGTACGTGTTAATGTGTCAAATATTTCCATAGACAAATACCTACAACCTTCATAAAAGAATTTAACTTTTCTCCATCACAGTCTGGGTTTAATCCGGTGCATATGAGATTAGAGAGCTGGGGTTATATTCACACTAAAGCCCATACCGCCGCTCTGTGCGTGCTGTGGCCAGATTGGGCGGTTTTCAACTTGTTTTTGCGGGTAAAACTGACAGGCGGGTAGAGGAGATTTCTCGCTGTTCAGCCTCTCAAGGTTACTATATTCTACAGATTGTTGGACGGTGCTCTTTGGGTTTCAGATTAGTTTTTGGGATGTAATCAGCCCGCTACATCTGCAACACTCCCTGCATTTATTACCTGTCTGCGGGGTTCACGCCTCATCAACACCTGCTGGATGAAGGATTGCAGAATTACTTCAGTTATCGAGAATATGCAGAGACCGAAGTGTCTGACCAAGACGCTACACGTCAGGTCTGAGCTCAGCTGACCCTGCTGAAAAATCCAGCTTAAACCAGCCTAAGTTGGTTGACCAGGCTGGTTTTAGACTGGTTTTGGCCACTTCCAGCCTGGTCTTAGCTGGTCAGGCTGGAAAAATGACCAGCTAAAACCAGCTTGACCACCCTGGTTTAAGTTGGATATAGCTGGTTTTGGCTGGACTGCCAGCTTGGCTAGGCTGGTCAAGCTGGTTTTAGCTGGTCATTTTTCCAGCCTGACCAGCTAAGACCAGGCTGGAAACCTGTCTAGGCTGTTTTAAGCTGGATTTTTCAGCAGCTGAGGCGGACAGATTAAATTGACCGGAACTTCTTTTTCTGTTTTAGTGTGGTTTGAACCGTCCAGCCTCTCACAATCCAGGATTAAAACTCTACCAAACTAAATGAGTCGCATCACGTGGCGTTCAGTAAGTGGATAATGGTGACACCTGACATTTGTGTTGGAGTTGTAATGTTGACAGTTAACGAGAAAACGACTTCAGTCAACTGACAAGATAACCGAAGCAGATCAGCCTCTGACAGAGTGCACGAGTCTCAGGCTGCTTTCACACCTACACTTGTGTTTCAGAACCCGTCTCGTTTGCAGAGTTAGCGCGGTTCGTTTGGCATATGTGAACAGGGCAATCCCGCTCTGTTCCACGCCAAAGTGCTTCAACTCAATCACCTGAAGTGAACGGTGTGTTAGTGAACAGGCGGACACAGACATACTAAGAAAGACTCTTTAATTTCATCTCCCCGGAAAAGGGAACATTTGAACATATTATACAAAACACATGAACGACATTCGCAGTGATGAGCAGACATTCTTTGACACGATTCTTTTTTTTTTTTCTCAACATTAATCTGAAGGAACTCAAACACAATAATAGTCCCTCGCGAGGAATAAATAGACCTGCAGGACACTCAGCACGGTTAAAAAGAGGGAACGCTTGCGGAAACAGTCTTAAAATACAAGTCACACACACACACACACACACACACACACACACACACACACACGAAATGGCTCAGTAACTCCAGCACCTTTAAAATGCTCTGTTTTCGTGAGGAGAGGTCACAGGAAGTCACACGCTGGGCGTCAGGAGTTAAGTGCTTTCTTCTGATTGGCTGTTGATTACACTCGGACTGAGCGGGGGTTCTGATTGGCTTCTGCGGGCTACCAAACCTGAGGGACGTCAAAGAGCGCTGGCGGTGTAGTTTCAGAAGCTGTGCAACAAAACAAACGCAGGTGTTCAGCAGGCTACCGGCTAATCTGCGCATGCTAATATAAACGCTCACCGTCTGACTTCCTCTTCTTGTGCTTGCGGCTCCTTTTACCTTGACTCTGATTGGCTGAGAACTCATCGAGCTCCGCCTCCTCTGCCACTGGGCTCACAGAGGCTCCGCCTTCATCAGCCCTAAACAAAAAACAGCCAATCAGAGGCATGACATCATGTGGGTGAGTGAAAGGGGCGGTGCACTTACTGCAGTCTAGGCCAATCACAGGAGCCGGCGACGTCAGCGTAGGTCTGCGTGCAGCTTCCTGCGATACGGAAGATGAAGATCAACAACAAGCGTCACTATTATAATGTAACGGCGAACAGGAGCTGATCCTGATGATGGAAACACTGAATAATAACGCTCGGTATAATAACTGCTGGCATGATTCTGCTGAAGCTCAGTTTGCTCATTACAGAAGTCTGCAGATGCAGAGATCGCTGCTGATTGTGAAGCATTATTACTGTAGTGCTGAGGCCAGACAGAGGCTGATATGTCAGCACAGAAGCTGCACAAAAACCTGCAGATTTACGCAGAATGATATTGAGAATACCGCAAATAAACATTGACATGCACATTAGCGCTGGGCCGTTATCCGCATTAATGTGCGGTGTTAACGAGAGACTCTTATCAGGCAATTTTAAAACAATATTGCTGTTAATCTATTCTCAGAGTTGGGTTGGACTGGGTCTATTCAACGCAAGCTATGATGACTTTCACCTTGATATTTTAGTGCGCATTTATACCTTCCTGAATTGCACTGTAGGGGGCGAGAACGAGTCTTCGAACCTGTGTGTATTCTAACTGTGAAGTGACCACACCAAACGTGACGTGCTCACATGGACGCAGTTCACTAGAGTGAGGCCGCGTTTACACTAATGTTTTAGTTTGAAACGCAGAAGTTTTGCTACGGTTACACCATCCGTCCACACTGCGCCGGAGTTGGAGCGCCGAAAGTGGAGCGTTTTGGAAACGCTGGAGAGGCCGTGTTCATTCTGAAGCGCTGCTGCTGCGTCTCAGTGTGGATGAGGGAAAACGGAGACATCTGAACACGGAGGCGGGGCTGCTGAGATTCAATAGCTGATTGGGGCTTTGTGTCATTGCGTATCCTTCCCTTATTCGTCAAGCCCCTATCACATGACTAACACATGGCTTTAACGCTACCGGGAGACAGCAGACCAGCCTTCACTGTAAACAACAGCATGAACACAGAAATGGCAGCGCTGTTTGCACTAGTGTCTGTTTTAGGCAGCATTGTGCAGTTATTCATGTTACGTTTAGTAGCAACTCCACCTCGTCATCTGTCCACAAATATACCTCTCCTGCTTTCTTTGCCATCACGTTTAATGTTCAACCGGTGTTTGTTGACTAACAATAACCAAATGCCGAGCGAGACGCATGCTTCCTGTTTATACTAGAACACTCATGCCCAGAGTGTGTGAATGGTCACGTGATGTACGTGTTTGGTGGCGTAGTGTGGACGGAGACATGTTCAGAGACGCTAGGTGAAACACTAGTGTGGACGCGGATCGTTTTTGATCTAAAATGCCGTTTTAAAACTAAAACACTAGTATATATACACACAATTATGCCGTCAAACTGTTGTATAAACGCATATTACACGAGTAGCAGTGCGATATGGCTGTATATCGGCACTGGTGGGAGGTGTGCGTTGCTTAGTGCCCCCACCAGTGCCGATATACAGCCATATCCCACTGCTACTCATGTGATTTTGCGTTTATACAACAGTTTGACGGCATAATTGTGTATATAAAAACAAAATCAAACATGGAGAGCCTCAAAAACCCTTTTGTATGAGGAACTACTTTCTTCCGCGTTAGAGTCAAATCATAAGCTGACAGCTAAACAGCTGAGCAAGCATCTCTTACACTGTAGATCTGGAGTGTCTGCTTTCTGCTGGCTGTATGTGGGTGGAGTAATACACAAAGGGTAAAGAGACTGTATGGGTGCTGATATTACTTAAATCTGATTGGCTGATAGCCGTGATATATTTTGAGAACCAGACGATGTTGTGTGTGTATATATATATATATATATATATATATATATATATATGAAAAGACATTTTACATGTCTGTGTGTATGCAGAGAGGAGTTGTGAATGGTCTGCATGTCTGTATTCCTCCGCCAGCAGCTGTGCTCTTGAACGTGTTGAGTCTCGTCTGCAGTTATTGTTCACGCACTACTGCTGCGGTGTGGATTCAGACTGAATGCTTGTGTGTGTGTGTGTGTGTTGCATCACTGACCCTCAGTCTTGATCTTCTTGACGCTGTAGTTCGTCCAGCTGCTGTCGGCGCCGTGATTCTGCTCATCCAGAGACGGACTGATGCTGCGCTTGACCGCCTGATGCCTGCACACACACACGGTCATGTGACTGACAGACAGAAGCCATGTGTGTGAGAGAGATGGACGTCGACTCACCGGTTGTCGGTGTGGCTGTAGCCGGATGCGGTTGTCATGGCGACACTGGGGTAGGAAGTATCCGCCCACCCATCGCTGGCCCACTTCCTGCTGGAGTGTGTGTTCTTCTGCCGGGACTGCAGGTACTCCGCATAGGTCTGGATGCGGTAGCTCTCAGCGTATCGGCTGGTGTTCATGGCTACACACACACACACACACACACACACACACACACACACACACACACTGAGCGAGGTGTTGGTGGAGGCTGGAGAACAGCAGATGAGCTTCTTACCGATCTGAACCTGCTCTGTCTGACTGAGAGACACGAACGCTGACGTGTCGTCCACCCACGACACCTGGATGTTCCCTGAGACACACACACACATATAATAAAGCACACAAACATACACATATATTAACACACAGATCAGACAAGTGTGTGAGAGTTACCGAAGGCGCTGAACAGCTGGTACAGGTCACTGGTCTTCCACTCTTTAGGGAACGTGACGTACAGGACATGATCTCTCTTGGGCTGCACTGAACACACACACACACACACACACACAATAATTATTACAAATATGGATCAAAAGCTTGAGGTCAGAAATGCTGTATTAGTGTGTGTGTGTGTGTGTGTGTGTGTTTCTTACAGTCAGGTCCGCTCATGTTCAGGTAGGGAATGTCGATGACCCTCATCAGGAATAATCTGAAACACACACGTGAAGACAGGTTTAGAAGTGTGTGTGTGTGTGTGTGTGTGTGTGTGTGTGAGTGTGTGTGTCTCACTTGTTGTAGAAGGGCTCCAGCAGTTTGGAGCGGGCAGA